CATATACCAGGGACATATAGACAGATCTATCTCATTATACAGTTTCTAGAATTGCATGACCAAACAAAGATCAGGAATGGTACCATTGTCACTGGGGTGAGATTTTGGGTTAGTAGAATATGCCGCTCGTAGGCATGGGGCTTACGACGATAGAGTCAGACAAACCAGGCGTTTAGCATTGTGGCATAGCCACAAGGGTCTCAGGAGTACCAGTTTATGCCCTGCCTGTTCCACCGCAGGTTGAGTTTCTGATAATAACCCAAGCAAAGCAGCATAAAATGGTCTAAGTGTTTGGGCCCCTACCATCCACACACTTGGGACACCTGGGTGAAGGTCCTGGCTCCTAGCTTCAGAACCAATGGAAAGAACATTCTTTCCTCTCTTCCACTTTTCTGCCTCTCATTTTTTAACTCTGACTTTTAAAATTAGGAAATAAATCTTTTTAAAAATTTTATGTATTTTATTTTTTTTTATTGGAAAATCAGCTATACAGAAAGTAGGAAAGACAGATTAACTCCCCATGCGGCCGCAATGGCTGGAGCTGAACCAATTCAAAGCCAGGGGCCAGGAACTTCTTCCTGGTCTCCCAGGCAGGTGCAGGGTCCCAAGACTTTGGACCATCCTCAATTGCTTTCCCAGGCCACAAGGAGGGAGCTGGAAGGGAAGCAGGGCTGCTGGGATTAGAACCAGCTCCCATATGGGATCCCAGGCATGCAAGAAAAGGACTTAACCCACTCTGCTATCACGCTGGGCCCAGGAAATAAATCTTAAAGCAAAAAAACAAGCACACTTAGAGCTTGACTTAGTCCTTGAGCTAGAAGAACAAACAAGGGATGGCTGAGGTATGTGTGCAGAAAATGGCGCTATGACGTTAGGGTTCTGCTGGCTGCCATCACAGCATTTTTAGCAAAAATATTCACAGTTCTGTTGCTTGGCTGGAAACCCTCATTTCATTTACACATAATTTCTCTCTCCTAACACATCCTGTCTTCATTGTTTGAGATGATTTACTTAAAAAAAGTAAATCAAAGTAAGCTGAAGGAAATCCACCTAGCAAATTAGTAACCCAGCACTCTGTATATCCATATTCACAAACATTGGGTCTTATCTCCTTTTATACCAAGGACCTCTAGAGCAGTGACCACAGGAGGAAGACAGTGGAAGTGAAATCTCATTTTTCTCCTTTCGGCTTGTCAAACAGTAAAGCAATTCTTTGGGGAATTTCAAGAGCTCTCTTCTCTCTGGTTTCACTGTGGTGCAAAGGTTTAGAACTACACTTTTCACTCATCCCTTTCCCACACACCTCTTGGGCATGGATGTGGGGTAGTGGTGACTAGGGAATGTTGGAGCCGCCAGCATGCACACACAACAGCATTCCTGCAGTCTTAGCACTTCGAGCTTTGCCCTACAAGAAGGCTGAAATCAGCCTGCTGTACTGGGTCACTACAATAAGACCTTTTGGCCAAAGACAGAAGGCTTCCATCCTTCAATCATCTCATGAGCAATAAAGCTGACAAACAGCCCAATTTCCTTTGTCTTTAAGATCAACTGACTTTTGATACGAGAGGGAAGGGAAAACGTGCAATAAGCCCCTTAATACTTCAGCAGTAAAATTTGGGATACAATGGTTCCAATAATCATAAGGACAAACAGACACATTCACACCACATTGTTCAGTTGAAATAATCAAACCCTAGATAACCCCACATCTTGCAGTACAGATGTATATATAGTTTGTGTTAGAAATAGGAAGAATGACCAGTTGAATTTATGAATGCTATCATCTATGCTATTATCTAATATTTTTTAAGGAAAGCAAGTTTGTACGTTCAGGCATAGAATCCTTCTTGGTTCCCAGGACTGGCTTCTACATTAGCAGGATGACTCATTTCACTTTTGTTGAGCTGTTTGCTAACTGCCAAATTCTCAAAGATAGTGAGAATCAGGAAAGAAAGAAAGAAGAAAGGAAGGAAGGAAGGAAGAAAAAGAAAGAAGAAAGGAAGGAAGGAACAGAAAGAAAGAAAACGAAAGAAAGAAAGAAAGAAAGAAAGAAAGAAAGAAAGAAAGAAAGAAAGAAAGGAAGGAAGGAAAGAAAGGAAGGAAGGAAGGAAGGAAGGAAGGAAGGAAAGAAGGAAAGGGCAATAGGGCATTTTTTGTGCATTTGGTGTGGTTTGGTTCAGTTTGGTTGACCCATCATTGATGAGACAAAGAACACTGTGAAAACACAGCAAAGACAGATGCCACTAAACTTCGTGGCATCCAGGTGCTAAATTCCAAACATTCATTAATTATATGCTTTCCTTAGGGAGTGAGACAAGATTGCTTATAGTGATCCTTAAGGAATTGAGTTTAATGAAACAGAGGAATAGCTGCAATGAGAATATAATGGTATGTAAATATTCTTGGGGGAGCCTTGATAGAATTTATAGCAGCTACATACATCCGAGAATTTTGGCCTGTGTTATTAATCCGCACTACCATGAAGAGAGAATTTGTTAATCAAGGACAAACTATCCCAATGATTTTGAATGAGCAAATTTCAAATTATGGTAGGGTAATGAGACAGGGTTTTGTGCACTTACATTATTTTCTACCAAGACAAAATAGGTGGTCTCTTTACTGAAAGGTTTATTTTTAGTTTTGAACAGCTTCCCAGCACTATCTTTCACAAAATTAAAACAAGAAGCTGGAATTTGGTTGTACTAGGCAATCATCTTGGCAAGACTTGTTGCTATGGCAGAAAAAAAAACTTCATTGGATCAGAGGAATCCACTGTCCAGTTTTCCTTCTAGCTCTGAAAGTATTACACCTATATTTTAAATAAAACTGACTTTTTCTCCCTTCTAGTAATGTATTTTGAATCTTAAGAATGTCTTCTTAAGAGCTTTGAGTGGCTTTTGACCTGGAAGGTATTGAAATAATCTCTTGGCTTGTATTGTTATGTATACAGAGTAACATAAGTCTCCTCCAAAATCTGGGAGAGCCCAGTTTCTTCTTGGCATGCTTCTCTCAGCTTTTATCATCCAAGTGGAACGACTTCACCTTGTGTTGTTGAGGCCTCTGAAGGTCCATTTCTAATTTTAATTTGGAAAAACAAAGAACATGATGTAGTGATGGGCTTAGGCACAGCCAAAAACATGGAAGGGGGCTGAACATACACAAACTGACTGAATCGTAAACCAGATTCGCCAGGGCTGTGATCCTTCTCTGGTTACTTCTAACTCAGTGGCACCCATGTACATGCACAGGATCTGTGTGGAATGATTTCATTGCTTTCTTTCCAAAAAGAATTAATAAGAAGTTGGAACTCACAGCATACTTCTGATGTAACTATACACCTACCCTATTCTAGTCTTGTAGAAAAATAAAATCAAGGATCACTCTCCCAATTTGTTCACACCACTTACTGTAAAACGCTGTTGACGCTTGCATAACTGGAGACACATTCCAGTATGATTTTCTGTTTTAGTCACTGTTCAAAATCTTCCCCCAAGTTTGAACCTTTTATTTACTCTAGAACTCAGGGAAAATGAAAAAATAATGGTTTTTGGATTGGAACACTGGAGTAATTTTCACCACAGGATCAATTAGTACAGATATTTTACTCAAGTATTGAGTGCACTTATGAAATGTTCATTTAAGAGAAAGTGTAGCAAATAGTAATAGGATTCTTGGCAGTTCATGGAACCCTTTTCTGGCAATGTGTGCTGCTCTTGAGAGATTTGTAAGAGGTTAAACCACAGTTTTTCTTTCCTGCTGCTAACTCTCCAGAAATAATAGGAAGTCAGTGATGGAAAACAAGTGGAGGTAGGGAAACTCTTTCAGGAAACGACTACAGATATGTTGCTCAGGGGTCAAAACATAAATATCTGGATTTTGAAAACATTTGGTATTCAAGAATTTGTGACAGTTCAGCGAATAATTCAGCAGAAACTTTTTTTTAACCCAACTCGATTACAAGGAAATAATGCTAGAAGTGGGAGACACGAGGGGATCTTCAAAATATTCGTGGAATTGAATGAAATTAAAAACTTATGCATGCTTTCAGAATTAATTGCACCAAAACAGAGACAGATAAACAGGAGGAAGCATCTGATTGTTAACTCCCCAAATGCCTGCAACAGCTCTGGGCTTGGACCAAAACAGGGCTGGGAAAGTCAGTCTTCCCCATAACTGGCAAGGACCAAACTTCTTTAGCCATCACTTTCCTCCTCTGAATTATCGGGGGGTAGACTGTAACAGTCTTTGCAGAAAGAAGTTGGAAGCAAAAATTAAATCCATGAACTCCAGTATGGCACATCAATATTTCAACCAGCATTTTAATGAATAGACTAAATGTCACTTGCATAAGCTGATCTTTGACACCTGAGTATCAAAGATCATAACAATTGCTTCTTTATCACCAAATCAATGATGGATTACACTACAAAAATGGCTGAAAAACTGGTATATTACTTAAGACAAACCTTCTTAACCATGCATTCATATAGAAACCCTACTGTGCAGTATAGAGATTATTCATATGATTTTATGTTAAAGGACAAGAGAAAAGCTATTGTTGCTAATTGCTTTTGGTAGAAAAAAACAACAAATGCCACGATATATCTCTGTATAATTTTAAAAAGTCCACTTCACAATTATATGTCACCTGTAAATGCTCTAATGTCCAGTCATAGGCTTATGATCAAAATGTCCACAATGACTCTTTCACAAAAGTACAGCATTGAGTGATTCTGCTCACAAGAGCACCATGGCCTTTCAATCACACACCACCTCACCTGTCACTCCACTAGTACCTACTACAAGGTGCACTATTCAGTTGTTATTCAAAAAATTATTTTCTGAATCAATAAACTTCCTTCTAAGTATGCACTGCATGATAACTAGGTTTATCGTTGGTTCTACTTGTACCGTGACACAAGGTGGATATCATCCAAGGGCATCACTGTGCCATTTTCTTCATCACACTTTCAGCGGATAGATTAAGACCTCATTCCTACCTGCTTGGTTGGTTGTCACTGTGACAGAAACAGATTGGTCTGGGCTGGGGTTGTATTTAGACACTCCATTCACAGCCCAGATTTCAAACGTGTAGTTGGTATGAGCCAGAAGATCGGTGATGGAGACTTTGGTCGTCTTCAGGCCATTCTGCTGGGGTGTATAATGGACCCCACTTCCACAGGGTCGGCACTTGCTGGGGTCGCCAGCTCCACATTTCTTGCACACCACATTGTAGGAGATATCCTGACGACCACCTGTATGCTGAGGACTGCTCCATTCCAAGTTCACGGATGTCTCATTTACATTCGAAATCAGATTGAGAGGAGCAGATGGTGGGCCTGGAGAAAGAAAAAAAGATATCATCACACCAAGAATTGACATATAATTTCTGGATCACTAAGCATTTGTATCATTGTGTATGGTTTTAGGAAATAAGGGCCATTTGTTAAAGAATGCAAAAAGCAAATCAAACCAGAGAAAAGATCTTTTAAAAGAACAATATGAAAGAAGGCTGTAGTGAGTGCCATTCTCATGCTATGTAAATAAACATAGCATCAATTGCCACTCTGAGATACAAAGCAACATAGTAAATGGGCTCCATGCCCAGACTTTCCTTTTCAATTGGCAGGAAGATAGCATAACTTATCTAGTCTCCATCTTCTTAAAAAAAATGGGTATAGGAATGTGATAGTAGTTCCCAGGGATGTTGTGGAACTCTGATAAATTAATAATTATATGCCATTTTTAGAGACAAATTATGATTCCCACGTACAGCACATTATCAAATGCAAATCAAATTAACAGAAAGGCACAGATATGACTCTACAGGTCTATGTGGCAGTTGAGAGCTCATGGTTAATTAGCAGGAACCAGTTTAACTTGTCTGTAGAGATGTCAAAGACACAGCTGTTAGAGATCTCAGCAGCAAGTAGGGACTGCTCAAGGTACCATTCCCTCCTCCTGCTCTTTAACTGGGCAGGGCTGCACAAAGTTGTTTAAGAGAATACTCATTCCCATCAACATCAAAGAACTTCTGAAATATGAGTGGTGGCCATTGCTGTTACAAAAGAGAATAACTGGTTATAAGCCGCATAATAGTTAGTTTAAAAACAATGACAAAAATACAGAGGACGATAAACTTTTTGCTTTTGTTGTAGATTTGTCTTTCTGTGCCAGTAAGGGTTGACACAAACTGTTACTACACAGGAAGTGATGCAGCGAGAATGGACAGGAAGTGCTGTTGATCTGAGTCAGTTCTACAGCTTCAAACGCCCCTATCACACTCACATGAAAATATGTACTGGCTATGAGAGTTGGAAGGCTCTGCTGGTTGCCCGTTTTGTTCTGCCAGAAGGAAAAGCCAAATGAAGTTTTAATGAAAACCTGAGGTTTCTTGATTGCTATATCCTTACTGCTGCTAATGTTTTTGGAATGACTGTTTTGAAGGAAATGTATATGTGTTCCTCAGGAAAAGGAAGTTAGCTGAAGGCCTGGATGAACTTGGGAAAGTGTGATCTGGTGCAAAAGAGTGTACATTTCCAAAGCAGACATTGAGAAGGAGCAGGAAGAAGCAGCCATTGATTGAATAGCCATGCTCAAGATCTGTTGCTTAGCTTACAGCAAGACAACAGATTTTGGTGGTACAATTTAATGAGGAATATCTTATTAAAGGAATTACCTCCTTTCCTCTTTATATAGCTTCACTACAGATTAGATATTAACAAGAGAAATCAGCCTTTCCAATGCACTCTCGGGTCTGATTACCCACAATTACCGTTCTTCCCATCCTATGAAGGTTAAGGGAAAAATCTTTTTCAAAATTTCATATATTTGTATTAGAAAAGCAGATACAGAAAGAAGGAGAGACAGAAAGATTTTACGCTTCTCCCACATGGGTGCAGTGTCCCACGGCTCTGGGCCATTCTTCACTGCTTTCCCAGGCCACAAACAGGGAGCTGGATGGGATGTGGAACATAGAGGACACAAACTGGCACCACATGGGATCCTTGCACATGCAAGGTGAGGACTTAGCCAACAGACTATCATGCAGGACCCCCCAAATCTTAATTTTTTTCGGAAAGTGTTTTGAGATTTGTGTTAAATGTCAGATTAGAGGTGAGTGTTGTGGCGCAGTGGATTAAGCAGCTGCTCGGGATGTTGTTTTTCTCGATATCAAAGTGCCTGGGTCAAGTGTTGTCTCTGCTTCCGATCTAGCTTGCTGCTAATATACCTGGGAGGCATCAAATGATGGCCCAAGTAATTGGTTCCAGTGACTTACACAGCATTCATGGAAAGTTCCTGGCTCCTGGCTCCAGCCTGGCCTAGCCTTACTTGTTGTAGGCATTTGGTGATTCAGGAAGTATATAGAAAATCTTTTTGACTCTATTCCTCTCTCTCTCTCTCTCTTTTCTCTCTCTGTCTCAGTTCTCCCTCTCTCCATCTCTGTTAGTTTGCCTTTCAAATCAATAAATAAAAACTTTTTAGAAGGCAGTAGGATAACTTCACAAAAAGTTTTCAGAAAGAAAACACAAATGTCTGTTTAGATTTAAAAATTATATTTATGATCCTTGGCCCAGTGACTGAAATACAATATGGAAAAATAATTGGTTTTTGGAGAAAATAATGGAATTATAGAAATCACAGAAAGTAAAAGCCAGATCAGAAGATAAAGATCACTTGGCTAAATGCCCTCATTTTAAAGATGAGGAAATTGAGATTCAAAAAGTGGATCAGATAACACTGAAAGTTCATGCGGTCTAATTAGTTGTGCATCTTGAGCAAAATCCAAAAGCACTATCTCCTGTTTTGGAGTTATTTCTATTCTACCAAGTGAAACTACAACAGCAAAATCGAAAGTCTGCCTGAAATTGGAGAGGTAAAGGTAAGAGAAGAGACTGCATCTCTTCAACCCTGAATGAATCCTGCAACGCTGCCACCACACTGGAACACGTTACCAGTGTGCAGCGGAAATGCCTGTGGTGTGGTTGGGTTTATAAAATGGGTCAACCACCAGCTCTCATCTTGCTCTGACTTCCAGGGTTAAAGAAGAGTGACTCTGAAATCCATTAACCACCTCGCCAAGGTTCCTGGTCCACTTTCACATGGGAAAATGTGACACAATGAATCAAGCACTGCAGAAGCAAAAAGTCAGCAATTAGTATGTAGGACGGGGCATGGCCATGTCTGAACAGAGGAGAAATGGAGCAGAAAACTCAACGGTCACAGTATTAGGAGATATAACGCTACCACGTGGAAAAGAAACACAAAGATGCTGCAGGAACTGAAAAGAGAGAGCTGGCAGAAAGCAAGTGCTCCCCGGAACAGCCTGCTTCCCTTCCCAGGGATTCTTAAAGTCTCCATGGTCATGGAGAGAACTAGCAAATCCAGGTTCAACATTGCCACCATGAAAGGTTTGGTGAATAACATTGTGTGTAGTTTATAATTTGCTTTCATAGGAAACAGTGGGTGTACGTCCAAGGAGTAGCAACCTAGAAACTGGACTATTATGGCAGGACAGGGAGAAAACATAATTGCAACCACTGGATTTTAACATTAGGCTGCAAAGATCTGGGAAAGGATGCAAGCTTTACAGACTAAATCATAAAGGTGTCTTTGTTACGGTTTCGATATGGTGTATATATTTTAAAATGCTCTTGGGAATTAAAAGATTATAGACATGTAACAATATGTTCCCCAGTTACAGGGAGGGGACATTTGTTCCTGAGAAAAGAACGCGTTCTCTTTCCAAGACACTGGAAAAATCATATGGACTTCAATACAATGGAAGTCAGTCTGTGCACAATTATATGAAACAGCAGCACCTTCAATCAATTACCTAGCTGAGCCAGCTAGAAAGAAAACAGGCCTTTGGAGAAATGGATTCTCTTTCAGGAAGGAAATGAAATGCACCCACAAGGAGACAAACTTAAATTACTGAAATCATTTCCTCTCCATTTATGTAACTCTAGTTTCTGAATACTTAGGAGTAGTTAAATTCCTGACACAGTGATTTCATTTTTCAAACAGAAATGTATTTATCTAGAAGTATGTCTCCAATTACAAACATACTTAACCTCTGCATCTATTGGTTCTATTCTCATGGATCCAATCACCTACAAATAGAAACTATCTGAGGGGGAAAAAACTGCACATAATTTGGCACAGTGGTATAAGCTGCTGTGTACAATACCAGAATCTGTATTGGAGTGCAAGGTTCAAGTTCTGGCTGTTCCACTTCCCATCCCAGGCCTTGTTAAACTGCTTCGGAAGGCAGCTAATGATAGTTAGGTGCCTGAGTCCCTGATGTGTGGGAATTCAGGGTAGAGTTCTATCTTGGCTTCAATCTTGTCCGTGTCCATTCATTGAAACCATCCCTGGACATTGTGCAGACAAACCTACAGAAAATATCATGGGCTATTACAGCAAGGAGGAACAGCTGTGCAACTCTGTTCTAGTCACTACGCTATGCATACATTGAAATCACATAGCCCGAGGGCCGCTATGAATAGCAAGCTTTTACACTTTTCAAAAATACCCACTGCCAGCTTTACCACTAGGCTAGCGGTAAGTCCAACTTACAGTGCTGTTCCACATTTCAGCTCCTTACTTCCATGCCCTACTTTGTAAGTGGGTAAGGTATGTTCCTAATCAGACATCCATTCCATGTCTTCTCTCATCAGATGAGGGAGTTCTCAAGAGAATTGCTGTCTTCACCATCTTCCAGTGTCGCTTATTGTTCCTAGTTTCCAGCAGGCTGAACAAATGTTTGACGAGTCAGTGAATGAGTGGGTGAGTGGTTGGACAACTAACCAAGCCCTTAATGCACCTCATGCCCACCTACCTGCAGTGTAAGGAAACGTGAGATTAACGCAAGCACCTCCGAGCTAAACCTCTGCTGCTGGTCATCTTTTCACAGTGATTCACTGACATTAAGCCTGTAACGGAGTATATCGCTATAACTCAAGAGTTCCATTTTCTAGAATTAGAGAATTCTTCAGAAAAAGTAAGCAAAACTGTAAATTATTAGTGGTTATTTTTTGTTGAGAGAGATTGTAGAATCATCCATTGGTTTAAAAAACATTGGTTGAACCTCTCGAGGTTGTCATATGCTCTACATGAGAGGAGAGAAGCAAGTGTTGTGACTCATGTTAATACTTTACTGTTAGAGTCCGAGGTAGCTACATGCAGTGGTAGGGTATCTGCAGGAAAAGAAAAGGCTAAAGGAAAGTCAAAACGAGTGGTGTGTGCACTGGATGTAAGGGCTACTGCGCTGCTCTAGCTTGTCTTTGCACTACAAAAGCACCTACTGTTGCTGAGTTAAAACGCGGCCTCTCTCAGG